AAATTTTTTTTGTATACTTCTTTAGTTACATTTATTAATATCTTACAGACAGCAGTGTAGTTTATTGACATTTACTCGAGAAAAAAAATAAAATAGTAATTCACCAAATCTTGAATGCCAGGAAAATGAAATATTAGCTTAGAAGTTTAAAAAACAGTCATTTTAAGTTAATAGTAAATAACTCAACTTAAGCCTTTATGTCAGATACACCATAAATTGCTTAAATTAATTCTTTTTATCCACTGTAGAAAGAATCAAATTTTTTTTTGTTACTGATACGTACAGAATAAAATTGTGTATAATAATCAATCATTAAATAAATAAATAACTTTGATTACATCCAACCATATTACAATCATACATAAACTTGATATTAGGTTAATATTTGCTTTTCCTCCTTACAGTATTAGCAGTTAAAACATTTTTTTGGTAACACTTCAATGTCCTGGAATTCATAAGCCAGGAAAATGACAGCCAGAATAATGACAAATTTGCCATTTTATAGCATATAACTTTACTTTAATTTAATACTTTGGCCTAAGACGTTTACATTCTGCAGAAAACAGCAGGATTTCTAAAAAATAACTCAGATAAATCTTATAGTTTATGTTATTAATTATTTCAAGAAGCCAGGAAAATGACAACACAAAAACCTACTCATCCTGAAAAATTTTTTGAAATAGATTTTGAACCAGAAAATTGGTTCTTTATTCATCTAACAAGACATGTTCATATAGGAGGGTATCTAATCAATATATTAACATAAGATATTGATTGCTGGCTCTAACTATTTTGGTTATAAACCACTAAATAAAAGTAGCCAGGAAAATGACAGATTTTCTTGGGACAAACAAATTATTAACAGAAAAAAATATTTTAAACGAAGTTTTTGTAAATAATACCCTTTGCTTCAAGAAATGCTTACACCGGTTAAGATAAAAAAAAAATTAGATATTAAAAAATTTATGGGAAGTTTTGAAGCTAGTTATTATTGGAAACATTGCTTGGGACATGCCAGGAAAATGACATTTTGAAGTTCAATTAAATTTTTTAACTATACAAAACAGTCAATGCTTGTCCAAAGTCATTTTAAAATGCTAACAGCAATGCAATTTATTAATTTTTTTTAAAAAAAAGGCTCTTTTAGTATTATAGTATTAGATCTTGGAGCAAGGGACAGTAAATTGTCATATTTCGTGAGAATCACCCATATATGCATCAAACATTTTTGAACAGAAAGGAACATTATGCATATTGTTATTAAAGTCAATTCAATGCTCTTTTTTTCTTTTTTTTTTCCTTTTTTCTTTTTTTTTTTTTTGATGCACCAGATAGAAAAGTGTGTAAGTTTCCTGCGTAAGAAACATTCCAATAGCAGCTGAAATTTTTATATGTAATGTTTCGAATATTTAGAATTTTAAAAAAAAATCAAATGCCTCTCCATTTTTTAAATTATAGTAGAACAAAAAAATATGTATGGGTCAGACATAGTGCACTAATAGTCAAAACGCAAAAATTCTTAAACGGATAAAATGAAATCATTTATAATTGATTAAAAAAAATTATCTACCACTCTTGTATTGTTGCATTAAATATTTACATTTTAAAATGACTTTTATAATTAATTGTCACGAAAAGGAATAAAAAGTAAAAGACTAAAATAAATTCGTTGTAATAACTTTATAGCTCACTATGAAAGTCGAATACAATATATTTTAGGACTTCTTTTTCAATTTTTCATATGTTTAATTTATTTCAGATGTGAATAATTTTTTAAGCATTAAAATATTTAATAATTATTTAACGCTAAATACACACCTTTAACTGCTTTTGATCAAAATGTCACATTTTGAAAGGCAATTTTAAATGTTTAAAGGCACATCAGACTAAACAGTGCAAATATTTAATAATTATTTAACTTAAAAACAACATACTTTTAATTACTTTGATCAGAATGTCACATTTTCAAAGGCAATTTTAAATGTTTAAAGGCGCATGAGACTAAGCAGTGCAGGCAATATTTTAAGTTACGAAATCAGACACTAAAATCAACTTTCTTTGAATAAACATACCTTTATTTTGTAGACGGTGGAGTCAGTTTTCTAATCTTTAAAATTTGCTATCATCAATCTGGAAAATATGTTCCAGAAAGTGTATGGTCAGGAGAGCGGTCAAAAAGTTTAATATTTTTAATGCTTTATCATATAAAAGAATTCTGAGTTCTCAGCCAACTGAGAATACATTTTCCTTTTCCCATTTGACTCTTTTCCGAAACTCCTTTTAAAAACTTTTCTACTTTCAAACCGGAACAAAAATATAAACATCAGGATGATAGTGGACATAAATTTTTACAGGATTATTTTAGTACCTCAAAGATGATAAGAATTAAATGTTATTACATAAGTTTGAAGTTCCATATATTTTGATCATCTGACAATTACCCTTTCTGCTAAAATATAAAGGGACCAACCGAGGAAAGGTTGATTTAGATAAGCTTGGCTCTTCGTTCCTGTAAGTATTCAATTTTTTCACCTTCAAAAATTGAGTTTTTATCTATACGAAAATATAACTTTGAATTCACTTATACTTATGAATTTTACTTTTAATTATGAATCATTACTCGACTTAACAAAAATATTTATTTTCTGAGTATTAACAAATAAATTTCAAAAAGTATAAGTTTCATTATCTTCTTGGCAAAGCTTTATGGTCGGTCTGACCATAGACCTAAAGTTGTGTTCACCCCCTGGGCCCCAGCTTCTATGGTGGGCTCTCTTTGAAAATGGGGCCCTGGAAAACCAAATTCAATTAAATTAAAAAGAGAAATGAAAAACTTAAATGTAGCTTTAAAACACATTTCATTGTAATTTGTTTCATTTTTATTATGAGTAAAATATTTTTACAAAATTTTATGTAATGAATCACACTGAGGACATGAAAAAATGAATGACTGTAGGTAACAATATCTCAATTTACTGCAAATGTTCTGTTAGCGCTAACAGCTTGCAGCCCATCCCTATAAACGATTAAATCCATTAACAAACACCCATTGTTTGTGGGGGTCCCATAAACAATGATAGAGAAGAAGAAAAAATATTTTAATAAAAATTGAGCTTGAATATAGTATTTCCGAACAATAGAGCAGAAGTATCTCAAGAATGAGGGGGGCTATCT